GAAATCTTGCAGAATGTACCCTTGTCTCTGTTGCTCTAGCAACTATTGGTTTCAGTGTAACATGAAAAGGTTAATTTGCAGCTATTCTGTGAACCACAGCAAAAAGCAAAATGTTTCTTGTCTTATCAGCTGTGCATGATCATTATGTTTGTTAAGATGTAAAAACCACTAGAGAAATACTTGTCAAAATATTTTCTGGCAGATATCAGTGTTTGTCAACTCTCTTGATTTGTGTTATTTGTTCGTAGTGCATCTTTCAGATCAGATCCTTTATTTAGGTGGGTCATTTTTTTTATTCTTGCTTCATTCTTTCCTTCAAAGGATCCACACTGGTTGTCGCAAGTACATGGTGCCATAGGTACCTTGGATAATGCAACTGCCTTACGGCTATTACACTACCCACCCCTCCCTGACAAGTATAACATCAAGCCTGGACAAGTGCGCTGTGGGGAGCACAGTGATTATGGCTCAATTACACTGCTTTTTCAAGATGAGATCGGTGGATTAGAGGTATGAGTTAGCAGGGGGAATTCTGTTAAGGATTTAAAAATGGGAAGATTCACAATTAGATAATGACTTGTGTTGAGATTAAGAAATTGCATTTGCCCAAATTGACTAAGATGGGGTCCATAGTTGAGTATATAGAATGGGGTAGGGTTTCTTAGAGTGCAACATCACATACCCAGCAAATATCGACCTGAGAAAAAATGACAGAAGAAACTCTTTTAACTTCTATGTTTCCATAATTTGTCACATCAGGTGCTCCCAGTAGATGGAAAATACACTCCGGCTGTACCTATTCCTAAAACAGTGCTGGTTAATATTGGAGATCTCATGCAAAGATGGACAGCTGACAGATTGATCTCCACTGTAAGTGGAAACACACCTCCTAATTTTAAAAAATGATAAGTATCAAGAACCACAAGAAAAGGCAAGGTGAATTTTAGCAGAAAATTTAAAGCTATCTTGTTATGTGCACAGAATAGCAGTTAAAACTATTTTAGATGCACGTTGCTGTATAGCAAGAATAATTTGTGACAAGGTATTGTGATTCATTCTCCCAAGTGCAACTCTCTCAAGGACCCCTTATGTTTTGTTTTGCTCAATTCTTATTACCTGCTTTTCTTCCCCAAACTATTTGAGTTGGTGGTAGTCAGAGAAGAATTACACCATTGCAAGCTGTGATTACTATCACTAGAAATACTAATAGCACAACATTTGTCAATAAATTGTCTCCTTGGTGGTTTTCAGAAACATAGAGTACTTATACCAGAAGAAGAAGTGAAGCAGAGAATTGTACGCCGTTCTTTAGCTTTCTTTGTTCACCCTGATAATGAAGTCATGATCGAGTGTCTTGATGGATCAAATAAACATCCTCCAATCACATCAATGGGATATCTACAACAGAGATTTGCTGCAACTTATTAACTTAGTCACAAAAAATAACTCAAGGGAATTTGTAGGTTCATTAGAAGCAGCTCAGGGTTGAAACCATGATTATAATAATTAGAGGTATCATGACACATACCCTGATGAAAAATATGGATCCAGAAAAATTCTGCTATACAAGTAAACTGTGTTTCTTTTTTTTTTTTTTTTTTTAATCGATGATTTTGATTGCAACATTACTTTTTATTATTGAGTTACCTTTTAGTATCAAGTTCAATTTTAGAAAGGGTTGTTCCTAGTTAAATTTATCAACACTGTTACTTATGTGAGGATCAAACCCTTTGACTTAGAAACTATCAAAGCTGTTGTCACTAAAACAAAGTACTCATGACAACTTAGTTGTACATTCCTTTCAAGAGTCATCCTTATTTATGAATGGAAGGAAAAAATGGAAACAAAGGAGATACAACAGCTTAATTCTGTTGATTACAAACCAACCCTCGTTACACCAAGAACAAACATGAGTAAATTTCGGAGATGCCTAATGGAAGGAATTTAGATCATTTTTAGGAAAAAAGGTTCCCAGTCCTTTCTATACCAGAAATACACAAGTTCAAAACATTTTAAGAAACTCCCTAAAATAGCCAATGTTATAATGTCTCTGTTTTTGTTATTGGAACAATGTCCAAAAAAACTCCCCACACTTTGAATTCTTAAATTAAAGATAAACCTCATCACAGTGGTAAACAAACCCATGACCATGCATATTAGTTTATGTTAAGAAATGTGTTTTTTGTGCCATTTGGTTATCCATCTTTGAATACACAATCTCAAAATAATATGTTTTCAAAAATAAATGTTTACATGTAAAGATGGCATAATGCCTCATTCACACCAACAAAAATCAGTCCTAGAGGGAATTATATATTGATAGTAATTATCTTATCACCAACTTTCAACTGCTAACTTTGATGTTGACAAACACCAGTTTTTCAAAATGATGTTTAGAGGCTGGGTTTATTTTAAGAAAAAAAATTCAAACTTTTTTACAAAACAACTTTGAATCTTATTTCAGTCTTGGTGTGAATGGGGTAGGCATCTGATAATAGTAATTGTCTGAGACAGAAAAACCACATAAACATGCACCTTACAATTCTTAATTCCTCATAATAACACTTTTCTCCCTCTGTTAAATCATTCTGTCTTTAGCATGATAAATATTACTGTTCCCAAGGAGTTAAATACACAGAAACCAAGCACAAACTATTCTTCATTTCTTTTCAACCAGTTACTCACCTAGTTACCTAATTACGTACAATGGATAAAATCCCTGTATTAATTATATTTATCCATTATAAGTGTTTTTCCAAGGTTTGATTGACATCTCTTTTCTTCTTGAAGCAACTATTTGAGTAATGTTATCACTTAATTGTTGATATTGTAAATTTTTAATTTTAATCACTGATTTATTGTTAACTATCATAGCACAATAAATGTGATGAAACTCTCGTTACTGATATTTATATAATATTAAATTAAGCCAAGAAGAATTGAGATGCTCAATTATAAACTAATAGCTGTAAAGATTTCCCTTCATCAATGTCCCTATGCCTAGACAAGAACTTTATTCAAAAACAAAACAAAAATAGTATTCACCAAATCTTAGAATAATGAATATTTAATGTTTCCCGTGATATTTAGTTTCATTTACACTAATAACTCTTGATGGTGAATTAAATGTTTTAAGCATTCATTGAAATTCAGATGTCAATTTGTTCTTCAAAGATGATTAGTACAATAATATTCTGCC